CACAGAAATAATCCAGGAGAATTTTCCTAATTTAGCAAAAGGTAAAGATACTCAGATGTATGAGGCATACAGGACCCCCGCTACCTACAACCCAAACAGAGCAACACCCAGGCATATAATAATAAAAATTCCAGAAATTCAATACAAGAACAGAATATTAAAAGCTGTAAGAGACAAGAAACAGACCACTTACAAGGGAGCACCCATCAGAATTACAGCAGATTTCTCTGCACAAACCATCAAATCACGAAGAGCGTGGGGGGAAATAATTCAAGCTTTGAAAGATAATAATCTCCAGCCAAGATTAAGATATCCTGCACAACTGTCCCTGGAAATTGATGGAAAAACAAGGTACTTCCAGGATAAAGAGGAACTGGGGGAATTTGCAACCACCAATTCAACTCTACAGAGAGTATTGCAGGATATTCTAAAAAAAGAAAAATACAAAGAATCCAGAAATAGTGGAGGCCACAACTAATGGAGCAGAGAACAAAATGAAGAAGACAAACTGACAGCTACTGACAGAATAAGAGCTCAACAGAAATGAGGCAGAGAAGATTGGATGATAGGAACAGCTATTTTGGAGAAAATGACATCTTAATAGGTAATACTGATTTAGTATCATCTTGTTTTGAAGTCTCATCTAGCTTTTGTCCTTCTGTCTCCAATGGTCTTAATAGGTTGTATCTTACTGGATTTTATTATGTACGATAGTATAAGCAAAAACCTTTTAAAGACAAGGAGATTATCCAGAAACTATTATTCATTTTCTGTTAGTCGGTTCTAAATACTCTGTAATGCTGTCATTCTCTTAAATGGTTTTACATTGTTTTGATATACTTAATGCTACAGTATATGAAGTTGTACTCAAGGATTTCAAGGAAAAAGACAATATGGTAACTACTTTTATGTCAGGATTATCTGGTGGTGAAACGCTATTCTGCTTAAATGGTTATGTTTTGATCTGTGCTGTTTCGTTGTTATGCCCTCTTTTATCTCAATCTCCATTCCATTATTTACTTTTTTAATACTTTTTAAAAAATTTTTATCCTTTTAATTAAAGGAAAAAAAATAGCAGGATATATTATAGTAACCCACTTTGACTTTCCATTACCTCGATTTAAAGCCCTGTATTACTCTCACCATCTGGTTTTTAACTGATGTTCCCCTATTCTGTTTTGCTGGATAGTATCAGGTTCGAAAATTTAGGCATCAGCTGTGAAGATAATGAGATTCATTATAACGCCCATTCTCATTGACTTTTATCTACTTTTGAAGACCTACAATGTCTCCAATGGTTTGGCTTTGTCGGTTTTGTTCTTTACTGTTTTGTTCAATTGTATTATAACTAATGGTATAGGCAATTCTATTAGAGATAGCGGGAGGCATTATGGTAACCATTGTTGATCACCTTGTATTATGTTTTCACATTATCTATTATGTCCACCCTTTTGACTTGACCGATTCTGTTCTGTTATGTCACATTTGGTTTTACTCTCTTCCAAAAAAGTAATAAGAACCGTGAGAGCAATGAAACCCAAAATGTGTAATAGTCATTGTACAAAAGAGAGGAAAAGAAAGTGCTCTAAACTATATAACTGCATGTATATTTAAGTGTATAAGATAGAATATGATATCACAGAGTTTTATTGGATCATTGAACAGAACTGTTTGCAGTATCATTGATGGAATGTCCACTTTACAAGCTTTAATTTTGTGACTTGAACAATTATTTCTAAGATGACAGTATGTAATCCATTAACTAGTGATTTCCTACTGTTCATTTTTTTTCTGCAAATCTGTATAACTTGTACCCTTTCTCTGCTTTTTTTTTCTTTTCTCCTTAAATAAAATTTAAAAATAAAATTAAAAAAAAAAAAAAAAACAATCCTAAAATTCATGAGGAACAATAAGAGACCCAGATTGACAAAAGTAATCCTGGATAACAAGAGCAAATAAAGAAGCATCACAATTTTAGATATCAGGTTATATTTCAAAGCTACAGTCATGAAAACAGCATGTTACTAGCATAGAAATGTTAGACATGTGGATCAGTGGAACAGAATAATAAAGGATATGGGGAAAAACCCACACTCATTAAACTCTTTGATTTTTGACAAATGGAACAAAAATATACACTGGAAAAAAGACAGCCTCTTTAATAAATTGTGCTAGGAAAACTGGCTATCCAAATGCAGAAGATTGAGTTTGGACCCATATCTATCACCATGCACTAAACTCAAATGTAAGTGGACTGAAGATTTAAAAGTTAGAACATAATTAATTATTTGGAAGACAAAGGAAGTGAAGTTTTTGAAGTCATTCGCATAGGTAAGGGCTTTCTGAACAGAATTTTGTTGCACAAAAAATAACAGCAAGAGTCAACAACTAGGATCATACCATTTAAAAAAGCTTCTTCACAGCAAAGGGAACAACCAACAGAAGGAAGAATCAACCAACAGAATGGGAAAAAAATTACCAGTTAGGGGACTAATATCTAGAATATATAAAGATCTCAAAAAATTATACCCCCAAAATAAAAGACCAAATCAAAAATGGGCAAGTGAAATGAATAGACACTTTCCAGAAGCACATATAACCTATAAATATATACAAAAATGTTTAACATCTTTGGCCACTAAAGAAATGCAAATTAAAGCAACACTTGTTATTTCATCTTACTTGAGAAAAAGTGGCTATCATCAGGAAATCTACAAACAAATTGTGGCAGGACTTTGGAGAGGAAAGAAATCCTTCTGCATTGTTGGTTGGAATGTAAACTAGTACAACTATTCTAGAAATCAATATGAAGACACCACAAGGAGCTAAAACTAGAAACTTCATTCAACCCAATTAATCCTCTTTTAGATATCTTCCCAAAAGTTAAAGACATCATACTACAGTGACACAGGCATCCCATGTTGATAGCAGCACAACTTATAATAGCATATTCTTGGAAGTGACAGAATGAATAAAGAAAAGCTGGGATTTATACACAATGGAGTATTTCTCTGCCACAAAGAAGGTTATCTGAGTCATCTGTAGGACAATGGATGCACCTTGAGACCATAATGTTAAGTGAAATAAATCAAACACATGGGCTTAAATATTGCACGGTTTCTCTTACATGAGAAATCCATGATATAAATAAAGAGTAAAGTAAAAGGTAAATTAAAAGCAAAAGAAGATTGATCTTTTTTCAAAAGAAAAGGGGACCAAGAAATGGAGAGAGTGAGGAGGAGAGAGTAAAGGAATGAAAAAAGAATTAATATCTATTATGCAACTACTCTCAAGGAACATAATCATTATATACTGTAAGCATACACTAATAAAAACTTTAAAAATTTGAAATTATGGTCTTGAACAAATATTTGCACACCTCAGTTTGTAGCAACTTACACTAATCTAGAGGTAAAAATAACTCACATATACATCAGTGGTTAAATGGATAAGAAAAATGTTGCATCTATGATCAATGGAATGTTATTCTGACTTGAAGGAAATTCTAATACATGTTACAATATAAATGAACCTTAAGGACATTATGTAAAGTTAAATAAACCAGTCACGAAGACAAATACTGTATAATTCCACTTATATAAGGAATCTAAAATAATCAAATTCACAGAAACAAGAAAATAATGATTATCAAGAACTGAGGGAAAGTGATGTTGTTATTAATTTAATAGGAAGAGAATTTCAGATTTGTAATATTAAAAAGATCTGGAGTTCTGTTTTACAACAATGTAAGTATATTTAACATTACTTAATATTTAAAAATTGTAAAGACAGTAGATTTTATGTCTTTGCCCCAATCAACTAATCAACAAAACTACATGCACACTTGCTATATAAGCCCAGCAACTGCACTCTTAGATATATATATCTTAGTGAAAACTTTAGTCCACACAAAAAATTACACAAAAATTTTCCTAGCAACTTTCTGTATAATAACCAAAAACTGGAAACCATGCAAATGTCCTTCAAAGCATAGATTTCCTAAACAAACTTTACTACACAACATATCATGAAATGTGAATACTACTCAGAAATAATACATGATGAACTATTGATACACATTACAACCTAGATAGATCTCAAGACAATCATTCTAAATGAAAAAAATCAATCCCAAACTTTTTATACTATATGTTACTATGTATGTAGCATTCTTGAAATGATAAAATTATCGAAATGAAGACTTTTAAATGATTGCCTGGGAAAGGAGGCAGTAAAAAGGAAATGACTGTGGCTATGAACGGATAACACGAGAAAAGCATGTCAAGATGGAATCGCTCCTTATCTTGATGTTGGTGGTCACATGAATCAAAATGTGTGATAAAATCTCATGAAACTACATGCACACATACACACATAAATGCATAGAACATTGATAAGATCTAAATAAAAACATCAATCCCTATTTCCTGGCTGTGATACTGGATTCTATTTATGCATGGTGTTTCCATTGGAGGAAAGTGTGTGAGGGTATATGAGATCTCTCTATATTATTTCTTGCAATTGCATGTGAATTTACCATTTTCCAAAAATCAAAGGCATTTTTAAATGCACACTACATATACTTTTCCTAGAGGTCTGAGAGATTATACAGGGAGTAATATGATTATGATTTGACATCAAAGTAGGATGGAGAAAAGAGTAGGTGGTATTTTACTTTCTAGATGATACAAACATTTGTGAGATGGGGACACATGGCAATAGAAGATAAGAATGAAAGTTCAAATGATAGAGAACTACTGCAGGAGATATATTGCTGGAAAGAGGAGACACATTGAAGCAAGAAATGTGACATGTACACTTGAAGATTAAACGGGACCCTTGTCTCTTTGAGAATTAAGTGATAGCAGTAAAGCTGGGGATAACATAGGTAGATGTTATTGAAAACATCATACCACAGTGATATATATATATATATATATATATATATATATATGCACCCATGAATATAGCAGCACAATTTGTAATAGCCATATCTTGGAAACAACCTAAGTGTCCATCAACTGAGGAATGGATAAAAAAGTTGTGGTATTTTTATACAATTGTGTATTACTCATGTTGTAGTCAGGGGTTGTACACAGAGAACAACTAGCATTAGGACATGGAGTTTATATTTTTATAATGGTCACCAGAAGTTAACACAGGGAAATGCAGGAAATCTATCCGTAACACCAAAGACATAGATTATTTAGTCAAGAGCCTAAACCCCACGGCAATGTCCCACATGAGTCCAGATAAAAACCCAGAGCTCAGGACAATGCCTCCCACGAGTCCAACTGGAGGTTGAGAGCCCACAAGAAGGACTCACACCAGTCTCTTTTATGGATCCGTGCCGGGAAGACCCAAGGGTCAGCAGTGGAAGCCAGAAAGTCTATGCCAGAAGGATGAAGGAGCTGTGCTAGTGGGATGCAGATTCTATGCTGGAGCCGAGAAGTCACACTCACAAAGACCAGGGCTATCCTGAAGGCACCACAGCCGTCCTCAGCGACATGGAGGCCCCGAGCTCCTCCTCCGACAAGCACAGTTGGGTACGTGCCAGGAAGCAGCGTGACAAGTTCATCCTGGAGACCAAGCAGCACATGTCTTCCCCTCTGGAGTCAGGAAGCAGTGCTCTATGTGAGGACCAAAAGCTTCTCCAGGAGAACCAACAGATCAGACAGCAACTCGTAGGAGAACCCACAATGCCTCCTTAACACCTCCCTTCTTCTCCACTTATTTATCCTGGCAACTTTCCTCAGGTGGAGCATCTTCACTCAGTGCCATGCTGATGTAATCCAGCTGGCGTTAAGTTGACCACCAGTTCTTAATCCATAACAACTCAGCTATAAAGAATGATCACATTGAGGTTTTTATAGGTAAACAGATACAACCTGAGACCCTACTCATAAGTGAAATAAATCAAACTCATATGTGTAAATACTGTATTGTCTCCGTAGTGCAAGAAATGATAAGAATACATAAGATACAAAATCCTCAATAAATACTGTGAAAGGATAAGAATCTGCTCAAAGAGGAAAAAATAATATCTCAGGAAAAAGGAGGGGAAGGGAAAAGAAAAAATATCTAAATTTGTATAAACACACAATATAGCTAAGATGATTTGCTACAAATTATATAGGGTTGGAACAACTTTGCATGTTTGTGTATAGTGATCTGAGAAACTCTTTTGAAGATCACTATGTAAAATAACAACCTGGTTATGTTCCTACACTGTGTTTTGAAGGCCTATATCATCATTGTTTTGGGCTCCTTGCTATTGTTATTTGGTTTTTTTGTTTGTTTCTTGTTTTTCTAGTAATTTGTTTTCTTTTGTTTTGATTTTCCCTCTGATGCAGAAAGGATAGATGTCTATGTAGAGGCTTATACATGCCTAGAATGTCTCCTAAACAGTTTACAAGAGTAGATTGTATTATAAATGATGCTATGAACAGCTACTTTGAAGAAAAAGTGGCATTATGGTATCCACTGCTGATTTCCTATTATCATGCTGTGAGATCCAGTAATGATTTTATTCTTTGTTTAGAGTGGTTTTTGTCTGTTTTGTATTATTTAATTTCAACACACACAAAGGTATGAACAGCTATTTTGAAGAGAGCAAGAGACATTACTGTAGCCATTATTGATTTTCCTATTGACTGGTTTTGAAGGATTGTAATGCCTTCCTCATTCTGTTCTGATCAGTTTTATACTACTTTGTTTTTGTATGAATTCATTGTGTGTAAATATATAGACAACCATTCAGAAGAAAACAAGCGACATTATGGTAGTCAATGTTGATCTGTTGTCTTGCTTTGAAATCTGTGCCGCTATGTTGTTTTTTCTGATCTGCTTTGTTCTGTTTTGTTATGGATTATTTTATCCTCTTTAAAATAAAAAAAATAAAATTCTATGTGGAAAAAGGTAGGTAGGTTTTGAAACAAAGGAGAAGGAAGTCGAGATTGTTTAACTTGTTGACTTACATTATCTTAGAAGCATATCATGTCTTTGGAATAAAAAGACACAATAGAGTAGAAGCCTTGAGGAAAGCAACAAAATCTTATATGAGAGAGAGAACATCTAAGCAATCATAAAAAGATTGCTGCACAGCATAAAGATCAAACTAAGGATGGAAACTAAGACTTTTTCGAGAAGCTCTTTAGAGTGTGAGACTGAGCTTCACCCTTACCCCAGTCATGCTGGAAAATCTGAAAGTAGGAACTGAGAAAATGAATGGTCGGAAAGACCGAGGTACGGAGGAATTATGGTTATTGGTCAGAGACGTGTTCAACTGAGTGGCCACAGGTTTCCAGCTGGGGAAAAAAGTGAAGGCAGGAGGAGCCTTGCTGAAGCTGAAGGCAAGGACAGTGGGCCCTGATAAAGCTGACAAACACATTAAGTGAGAGTGATGAGGTAGGAGGAAGTTATAATCAGCAGGTGGAAGTCTCCCAATATATTTCAAATAAGATAGCTCTCACTCATGACCAAATTCACAATGTGTCCATGAATACTGTGATGAGACAGAATAAAAAATAACATAGTTATTAGTTGGGAAGATCACAGGACAGTCATTCAGGATGTGAGGAAAGTCATTTATGAGGACACTAAAATTAATCTGGATGCTAATGGAGAGCAGGGAAAAGAAACAAGCTCCATAGAGAGCCAGGTTTCAACACGGTATGGCTGTGCAGTAGGCTTCCTGTGAAGATGACTCTATAGCACAAGGATTATACACACAGACCACATGCATATAGGTACAAATGTGCCCAGCTTGATATATACAGCTTGATTGTGTCAGCCTAAGTACCAGGGGGGTGGGGAACCTATCTGAGTCATGGAGGCATAATTTGGGGTACCATGCCTGGTCCCTCTTCCCTGGCACCATTCCCTTACTCTGCTTCCCAGCTGCCACAAACTAAGCTGTTTTGCCTCACCATCTCCCTCCGCCATGGTATTTCTGCCTTGGAGCCAGATGGCCATAGATTGGATCCCCTTAAAATATGTACCAAATTAAACCTCTTTTCCTTTAAATTGTATCAGGTATTGTGCTCAGCAGCTAGAAATCTGACTAATACCACACACAGTACAGGTTCACCTGTTCCTACCACCTTAGGTTTCTTAGAACCTTCCTGGTCAGTGACTTCACAGAATGACCTTTAGTTTTACCTGCAGCTATTGTGTAATTCAGTTTCTTTCACTAGGTTTAGCCAGAGTCTGTTTCCACTATTTATAATCATAGTCTCCTGAGTGTTACACAAATATAATAGACACTTGTTGACATGGTATGGGTGTGGTTATCACAGACATGTCCAGTTACATGTACTATATTTCAAGAAAGAGTCTGATAAAAGAAAGCATCACTACTAACTTTTATTTCCTACCAAGAAAATAGCACAGTTACAAAAGATGTAAATTACCAACAGATTTTACAATTCTTTTTGAGGAAGACCTTTCTGTAATAGAGATGCTCAGAAATTTGATGGAATGAGTAGAGAGATAAGGAAATAAGATTAGCTAAGATTCTTTCATTTTATTGTGTTTGATTCTTCTTTGGAAGCCATATTGAAGCATCTAGGTTCTCTAGAAGGCAGACTACAGGCTCTAGCTTGAAGAATTTCTCCTTATGTTGAGCTAAATTGAGTACCCTCTAACTTTCAGTGATTAATCTCATTACCAGAATAAACGCATTCTCTCTTCCACATGACAGCTCTTCGCACACTGGAAAACAGCTCTTATGTAAGGAACAAAAATTATGGAAAGAGGGAGCAACAAGAAAGGGTCCTCCATCCCCAATCCTGAGAACACTGATCCAGGAAAGATAAATGCAAAGGAGAATGAGGACAGAAAACATGCAATATTAGACACGACACCAATAGACATAAAGCAATATCTCCAGAGCCTCATAGACGAGTTCAAAAGTGAAGTATTTAATGGAATAAAGCAAGATATAAGTAGAATAGTTAGAGAAATGCTTAGCACCGCCCAAGAAAAAACAGATGGTGGAATGGAAGAACAGAAAAAAGGGGAGAATTTTTGATGGAGAAAATAGAGAAAACATAGAAAACGTGAAGCAGGTTCAAAGAGATTACCAGGAAACTAAAAACTCTATTGAAAGCTGGCATAACAGCTCGAAAGAAACTAAGGATAGATTATCTGAACTGGAGGACAGATTTGTATTGTGGGAGCATGAAATGAAAAACTTCTTAAAAATAACAAGAAAACAAACAGCAATAATACAAAGGCTAGAAGATGATAAGAGGAAGTGAAGCCTTCACTAGGTTGACTGGCCTGGAGTGGGAGGCCCAGCAGAGGCTGCCCAGGTCTGTGTCTCCCTAGTACACTGCAGTGGGTGGGAACACCTAGCCAGCAGATTCAAACAAACTGTAACCAACAGCTTGTATGGAATGATAGTGGGCAGCTAGTCCTCCATCCTGCTAAACTTCCTTCAAGAAATCATGGAGAAAGCGCTTCAAACAACGGGCTCCATGGAGAAGGAATTTGTCCATGACTTCCCTCCTGTTTGTCAAGGGTTGATACACAGTTATTACCTCAGGATGGATCAGTCCTGCCATCTGAAGGAGACAGAAAACCCTTGGAACAGTGAGTGAGAGGTGTGTGGAGCAACCAAAGTGAGATGTGTGCACAGCTAAATTACACAGTGTTTTGGCTGCAGGGAGAAAGTGACCAGGAAAGAAGTCAGGAAGGGCTAAAAGGCGTGCTACACATCTTTCATGGCTTAATGTGGGGCTTTAAATATGTAAGAGTGGAGATAGTGCTTCATGACTTAAATTATCTTAATCTAGTCCCAAAAACCACACACGAAGAATTACCTCACCAACTCCACATCTTGTTCCACAATAACCCTTCACCAGCCCCTGGAAACCATTGTCCATCACCTTGGGGACTTTCTTCATTAAATATTCCATAATGCAGGTGGAGAGTGTAGCTCAGAAGTAGAGCACTTGCCGAGCTATGTGAATCCTGGGGTGGAAAGGGAGGGAGATAGAAGTTACCTAAAGTCGTGAATGAGTTACACTTCCACAGTACCCAGGGCATCTGTTTCTACCTCTCCCCCACTGCCACAGCACTGCCCCAGGAGAGCCTTCCTGTCCCTTTACCTGGTGCTGTACCAAGTTTTCCCTAGGGTCCTTGGCTGTTGAAAAGCTTCTGCTTGAGACCTCCAGAGATCTCGGGCACTTTTCTTAGGGGTTTATGTGTTGCCCCTTCAGGATCACTGTTTACTTGTCCTTCTTTGCGTCTTTTGAACTTGCCCTCCAAAACCTGGCTTCCCTGTAAGATTCTACTTTTGATCCTTTTCTCTCCCTATGTCACCTCTCAATTTTCCTACAGTGGCTTCCTTTCCAAGCCTCGTTCATGAAATTTTGGCTACTTTTTCAGGATTGTCTGAAATCTAACTGGCTAATATAGTACTCTAGGTTACAAGTGACAGCTACCAAATTTAAACCACATTGAGACTTATTTTCTCTTTTTCAGTATTTCAGTATTTCAGTATTTTCTTTACGTTTGTGCAACTAAAATTTCCAGGGACAGACTGGTCTAGCTTCAGGCACAATTTGATCCAAGTTTTCCTCGGGAACCGCTCTCTTTCCATTTCACAGCACTGCTTTTCCAGTTGTCTTCATCCTCAGACAGGCTCTGTCGTGTGGAAGCCCTGGCAGCTTCAGGCTTGGTTTTACTGACTTAGGAACCCATAAAAAAAGGAGCTTTTCCCTTCCATGTGATTTCAACAAACATCCAGAGCAGAGCAGGCTTCACGAGCGTATTAGTTTCCTACTGCTGCTATCACAGATCACCACAAATTGGGTGACTTAAAACAACAGAAGTACATTCATTTCTGGAAAACAGAAAACTATAATCAAGGCATTGGCAGGGCCATACTACCTCTGGAGACTGTAGTCAAGGATCTCTTATTGCTTCTTCCAGTGTCTGCTAGGCATCGACATTTCTTGGCTTGTGGCCTTATCACTTTGACTGCATTTTCATGTAGCCTTTCATATATCTGTGTTCTCCTTTTCAGTCTTTCTAATCTTCTTTACTTCTCATAAGGATGTGTATTATTAGACCTGAGGTCTACCTGTGTAACCCCAAATGGCCCCTTCGTCTCAAAAATCCTTAACTTAGCTATTTCTGCAAAGTCTTTTTCTCTGAATAAGATCATATTAATGGGGCTGGATATGACAATGCAGATATAGCCACCATCCAACCTACTACAAACCTATGTAGTCTCAAGGACTGTGCATTCACAGTGGCCCCAAATTTGTTTACTGGTCTGCTGTCATCATCTTGAAACTCACAATTGCTGAACAAGAGTCCTACAACTTCATTTTGTGCAGGACCCCACAAATGATGTAGCCAGTATTAGTCCTAAGGAAGATAGACAAGGGGAAATTTTTGCATGGGATTTATCTCAGCTCACTTTCTAGATCTTCACATCCTTGGGATGACTGCCTGATGATTAAGGGAGTAGAAGATACTACAGAGCACCAAACTCATGGTGCCAGAGGTTTCCTACTGGAGGTAACCTTGGGGCTGAGATCTGATGGATGAGGAATTAGCAAGGCACCAGAAAGTTTTGTAGGCAAAGGGAAAAATACATACAAAGAAGTAAGGGAAAGGAGACACAGGTACATTTGGGGAACTTGTTTGTCCAACTTCCTGTCACCGAGACAGAGTCAGGGTGCAAAGGATGCCTACCACAGAAGATGGTTCCACTAGGCTGGATAGAGCTAGGAGGTTAACCAAAGTTGTGGGAGGTAGACAGAATGTCTAGAACAACATAACCACTTTCCACCAAAGTTCTTGTCACTTCCCCTCACCAGCTTGCTCCACGTGGCTGGTCAAAATTTGGCTCAGGGCAATAGTTCCTCTAAATACTTCCTCTCCTTTCTGAAAGACAAAAATTTCATGAATGACAGAACTGACCAGGATCCCAGAGTGTCACTGCTTAAGGCTTTCTGCTTGGGTCCATATTATTGAGCCCCTATATAAGACAAGAGAGGTATTTCAAATAAGTAAAGAGAAAATGGATTCTTCATTAACTGATGTTAGCTGAGCATGGCTGTGCGTACCTGTAATCTCAGCACTCCAGAGGCTGAGGCAGGAGGATCACTGTGAGTTCAGGGTTCCATAAGCAAGTTCAAGCCCAGCCTGCACTACATAGTAAAACTCTGTCACAACACAACAAAACAAAACAGAACAAAACTAAATAAAAATAATAATAATTGCTGTTAGAAGACCTGCCTAGGCACTCAGACTAAAAGAAAAAAAAGCTGAGTCTTCATCTCATTCATTGTATAAAAATAAATTCCCCATAGATCAAAATTTAAAGTAAAATAATAAACTACTATATAATAATTAAACTACTCTAAAGTGGGATAATAATAATTAAATAATTTAACTACTATAAAATGGGAAATATTATAAACTTGCAAAAAAGGAATGCACTTTTTAGAAAAATACAAATTCAACTGATAAAAATTGATAAATCTCATAGGTAAAAAAATAAATTTCCAATGACAAAAAGAAGTAAATAAAAACAAAAGACAAACTGAAAATTAAGAAAAAGTCTCAACATCCATAACAAATTATGAGCTAAGTTTACTAACGTAAAAGGAACATCAAAATTGAGAAATTGACAAAGAGACTAAGTTAAACAGAAAATATCAAAACACACCCCTTCACATACTATTGTTGTAAAAAATAAAGCACCTTCACACATTATTGTTGTGTAACACATTATTATTGCTATATAAGCATATGTTATAGTTGTGTAAGCATACATTAGTGCAAATTCTTGGGAAGGGAATTATCAATCAACCATCAAAAATTAGAAATGAGGAAGAAGAAGAAACCTGTGACTCCAGAACTCTAATTCCAAGAATTTATCCTTGACATACTCTCAAATTCAAGGAAAGATGTGTCCTAAAGTTGATTTCCTTTGGCATCATTTGGAGTAGCAAGAGATGAGGAGCAATCTTTCCCAGTCAATGGGGAAATGTTCACTGTGTTAGAGAGTTTCCATATAAGAATGCCACACAGTAATTTTTTAATGAGGTAGATTTTTTATAGGTTCTAACATTGAACAGTTTCCAAAATATATTATTGGGAGCAAAAGACTTTATATGCAGTAAACTACTCTGATAAAAATAATAAAGGATCAGGGGCTTAAGATTTAGCTCAGAGGCATAAGTGCCTGCCTTGCAAGCAGGCAGTCATGAGTTCCATCCCTGGTACCGATAAAAAGGAAAAAGACAAAAAAAAAAAAAAAAAAGAATAGAGGCTGTTCCAGGTACAGTGGTGCACACCTGTAATCCCAGCACTCTAAGAGGCTGAGGCAGGTGGATCACAAATTGGAGCCCATCCAAGTGAGCAATTTAGCAAGAATCTGTTTCAAATATTTTTTTTAATTTTTAAGGGCTGGTGATATAGTGTGTAATTCAACGTGAAGGCCCTGGGTTCAATTCCCAGGTGAAAAAATAGATCAGGGCAAAAGAAAAGCAAAAACAAAAAAGAAATACAGAGACATAAGAGACACAGAGATTACACAAAGAACATGTCCAAAACTTACATATGAGAATATTTATTGCAGTTGCTCCTGGTACTACAGATAACATGCCAACTTCATTTTAATTATAAATATTTTATCACTTCATATTGTGCCATGTTACTTTCTTATAAAATATTTTAAATTGAAAGTAAAACACATATCTTAAAATTTAAAATAAATTATGGCACTGGTAGCTCAGTTATAGAACATTTGTTTGGCATGTAAGAGGCCCTAGGTTCAATCCTCAGGACTAAAAATTAGTAAATAAATTATGCAAAGCAATAAATAAAATCTCCTATCATTTCTTGGCTGTTGGGTAAGATCAACTGTGGAAATAAATTCTCTTATCTAACCATTGATAAACATTGTCTATGTTTTTCAATGGTTATCAAGTTTTTCCAGAATTTTTCTGTCTTGATACAAATGTGAGTGAATTGTTTTTCAGCTTTCATTGGCAGATTTTTATTTACTTTTCTTCTCCCACTATCTTTCCCCCTTCCAGAGAAACAAAAATTCAGCTCTGTAGTTTTGTAGCACATTTGAAAAGCAGAAAAATCTCCAAGACTCTTTGAATTGTCTTCCAAAAATCTAAGCCTGTCAGAGAATTTATAGGACTTGGTAAAGACTTGGATGGGGAAAAAAGTATTTTCAGTAATAAAAAGCACTCAACAAGACAAAAGCCCGGGCAACTTATCAAGATCTTGTCTCAAAACAGAAATAATAAACAAATTCTTGAGCTCAGTATGTAGCTCAGTGTAAAGGTAATAGTTCAATCCCCCAAAACACCAAAAAGGTGGTCACTTTATATTTCTAAACTGAAGCAAGGTGTAGTATTCTCACATAAGATCAGGACAGCACTGCTGCAGAGAACCAAGCTTAAATGTGAGGATTGTTAGGAAGCTTTTATAAATTTGATTAGGTACAAGAGGAGGAGAGGAGAAGGAGGAAGAGGAAAGAAGAACTTGAGCATATCTAGAGAGCCAAAAATAAACTAGATGAAGAAGCTGAGTAATAATGTGATCAGATAAGAAAAAGAAAGTAGTGAACAAGAAAAGACACAATTTCCATTTAGCATAAAGGACATAAAAAACCAATTCACAAAAAAGAGATAGAAATGGCTGACAGAGGTAGAAGAAAACACTCAAATTCACATACCATTAGAGGAATGCAAATGAAAACAATAATGAGACACAAATTTCTCCTATGGGACTGGCAGCCACAAGGCGGATATTAGCTAGCATGTGGGTGCCTCTGCAAATTTAGAAAACAGCATCATCCCCTTCTGGGAAGACTGCGTCTCCTGACTGGAGACAGATTCTCCCTCAGCCCTGCCTGTTCTCCAACCTGGGCCGTTTATAAAAAGGTCTATGTTCCTCTGAAAAATACTTAAAATGTTGAGGATGATTAGCATGACATAAAAAACAAACATTCTGCCTCTCGTCAGAAAACCCCTTTTTGTTTTAAGTCCAGCAATCACACATGATTCCAAGTGATGCGGTTGTACCTTTATACCTTCTTGACTTGAAGTCATGTTGCTTCTGTTGCAATGAAGGAGAATGTGACTCAGCTCAACTATGTCCCCCTCTTTTCTGCACCTGTTCTGTTTGGTTTTGTCAATTTTCTGCAGGCCATCGATAGATATTTACTGAGAACTTATACACAATACATCCTTTCTGGTGCTTTTCAGGACTTCATTGTTTTCATGTTTGAATTTGTCTACATGATTTTAGATAATATACTTAATATTTTATGTTTTCTAGCCCCAGAAATCATCCCAATTCCTATTAATTCAGATTGTGTGTGTGTGTGTGTTTGTGTGTGTGTGTGTGTGTGTGTGTGTGTGTGTGTGTGTGTGTTCACAGGCAATAAAAACTAACTCTGACTAGTTTAAAAAGAATGGCAACCAGGGCATGGTGGTGCATGCCAGAAATCCCACCTTTGCAGGAGCCTAATGCTGGGAGATGACAAATTTGAGTCCAGACAAAGTAACTGAGTGAGAATTTATTTCAAAGTTTAAAACAGTGTAAAAGGGCTGGGATGTAGCTCTGAGATAGAGTGCTTGCTTGTGCAAAATATTGGGTTCAATCCTCAGTGTCAGGAGTGAAGGGGAACAGTAGGGCAGTGCAAAACGGTTATGGAATGAAAATGGGGTACTTAGTACAGAATTGAAAGAAACTCTAAACAAGCAAGACCCAGCTTCGTCAGTGTCCAGGGCAGCTGCAGAAACTCAGAAGCAGGAAGGCATATATGTACTTTCTCCTTATGGTACAATCTTACCTCCTTCATGTCCAAACTGGTTTCTCTTTGGTCAGGCGTGCAGGGCCTGTGGTACAGATGTGATTGCTGCTGAATGAAGCAAAGTGTAAGACATGCTGCAGAGAACAGGAGATGAGCTGCTGGGCAACAATTCCCAAAATCGCTTCTGTCATACACAGACACACACACGCGCACGCGCTGCAGGCAATTTTTGCAGAAGAAACTGCAAGAAACTCTCCCACTTTGGGGTACTTTTCCTTTCCATGCACAAAGGCCCAGTTCTGCCCCCTAGTGGACGTCACCAGCAACCTTAAAGAGAAGACGACTACAGAAGAGCTCCCGGAGCAAAATGTTTACCTCAAGAAAATACCAGCAGCACTTCCGGGAGAACATGGCGGACAGATAACAGCAACTACCGGAGGCTCTCTGAAAGACTCGGCTCAGAAGCCAGGAATGGTGCGGACTAAGGAGACATAAGTCGGTGGAGATATGCTCTGCTGACTCAGGAACGAACTGGGCTGAGAGAAGCCAACTTGGAATGCAGTCCTGCTAAAACAGGAACAGAAAAGACTTGGTGTGGAGGCTGGAACCGCGCCATTGTAAGCCGCGATTTGGGTTTCCCGCCGCGCGGCGGCTGGCTGCCTCTACAGCGGCTCGGCAAGGAGAGAGACGCGCGGAAGCTCTGAGAAGGGCAATCTGCGAACAGCAGGGAGGTGTGCACTGACTTGTGGTGAGGTGAGTGAGAGAAACTGACACTCTACCACAGTTTGACTCCAGCAGAGGACTTTCTGGGCCCGGGCAGTCCTGCGGGAGCAGGGCGCGGTGGGACTCCAGCCACACATCCCCCTCTCGGGCGGGATTGGTGAAAAGTGCCTGACCTGTGTGACGCTGCCGGCGGACCTGGTAGGCTGTCCCAACCCAGATCCCAGAGCCTGACGGTGGCCAGGAGGGGTGACGCGTAGGCTGCCTGGTCCGTAACTCCCTGGTGCGCAGCGGTGAGCGGGAACACCTAACTGGCGCAATTCGATCAGGCTGTGGCTGACTGGGAGAGAAGCTGGGCCTCTTATATAAGCTTGCATATATAAGGAACAGAGAAGAAGAGGCAGCATGGGAAGAGGCAGCAACAAGAAAGGCTCCTCGGCCCCCAATTCTGAGAAACAGGCAATAGCAGACACCACACCAATACACATAAGGCACCATATAGAGAGCCTCATAGACCAATTCAGGAATGAAGTTATCAATGACCTGAAGCTAGAAGTATGCAGAATAGTTAGAGAAATGCTAAGTACCACCCAAGAAAAAACAGGTGGTGGAATGGAAGAACAGAAAAAAAGGGGAGAATTGTTTGACGGAGAAA